TAGTGAAGGTTTTCGTGTGTGTTGGGGGAGGTGGCTGATGGCCAAGAATGAGGGAGACCGGTCGGTGATCTGATCCTAGATCGTCTAGTGTCTCGATTGCTCTGAGGTTGAGAGAAACTCCTTGGAGTAACGCAAAATCTAACACATCGGGGGCGTGATCGGTGTTATCGGGAAAGTGAGTAACACCGAGAGGACTATGGACGGTAATATCAAGAGACTGCGTAATATCGAGCAGTATCTTGCCACTAGGGGACGTAGTGCGGCATGTCCATTCAGTATGCTTGGAGTTAAAATCTTCAAACATAATGACTGAATTGCCTAAAGATAAAATGGCCTCAAAATCTTTTTTGAGGGGATAGGTTCCTGAAGGGATGTAGCAGGAGGCTATGAGGATGGACTGATGTCCAGTCATAGCTAGCCTGCATACCGTGGCTTCCATGTTGGTAAGCTGCGGAGTAGAAATGGGCGAGCAATGAAGTGTCTTCTTGTAATAGATGGCCGTTCCGCCGCCTCGGCGGTCGGGTCTGTCGTTACGAAGAAGAGAGAAGTTTTTAATAGAAAGGCCTCTAGTGTCCTTAGCTTTGAGATTAGTTTCCTGTAGGAGGAGGAAATCGACTTCACGATTCCGAAGAAAGAGCTTAAGCTCTGGGAGGTTATTTCGCAAGCCGCGAATATTAAATGTTACAGGCGATAAACCCTTAGGTTTGATACGACCGTGAGATTTAGGTAAAGCGATTTGCTCAGTCATTGAAGTTAAGTTAATTAAGTTAACTTAACTTACAACGCTAGCAGAAGGTTATTGTGTTCTGCAAGAACGAGAAGGCGTTCTTGGGGGGACTTCGCCGCGCGGAGTTTGCGTGCTACTACGGTTATTTCCCTAACATCGATATTCCTAATAGCGGAATATAGCGTGTTGTAGTCGTCGGGTGTGGGCTCTGCTTCATGTGCGTACGAGGTTGTCCGCGGTGGGTCTGCCTTTTTGGGCCCCCAGGGAAAGACTGGAGGCTGCATTGGCTTGGAGAAGCCCGGAGGGGGCCGAATTATGCCCTGAGGGGGGCGTAGGGCGTCCCTGAGAGGGTCGAGAGAAGCCCTGGATGGGCTGAGAAAGGCCCTGACGGGGCCGTTGTTGGAGGGCCGGGAATGAGTGGTCATTCAACGGCATTGGAGCTTGCCTACTGGGGCGAGGTTGAGGTGCGCGTGGGCAACCCCTGTAGTTAGCCGGGTGTCCTGGGGTGGGGTGGGTTAGCCGGGACACAGGCGGGCGGGGATTCGGCGTCTTTGGGCCGGGGACACTCTTTCGTGTTATGTGGTTCAAGGCACTTAACGCACCTGGGTGGGGCGGAGCAGTTGGCCGCCGCGTGACCATAAAGTTGGCAACGGTGGCACTGCGCCGGGAAACCGGGCCTATGTGGGGGCTCTACCTTCACCCTCGACAGGCCACACACTGTGCGTACCTGCCGGAAGATGGCTTTAGCCTCCGGCACGTTCGATAGGATTACTAGGGCAAGGTTGTATCTCTTGCCCGTTCTGTTGTGCATTTTGTGCACTGCTTCTACGGGGAAACCTTGGGACTTAAGGTCCTCAAGGATTTCCTCGTTAGAGAACTCAAATGGGACGCCTCGGATGACGGCCCTGACTTTACGCTCTTCAGGGAGAGCGTACGTGTGGTAGGAGATTCGTTCGGCTGTGAATAGCCGGGTGATCTGACGGAAGTCCTCGATCGAGCTTGGGATGATTTTGATCGCCTCCCCGAGGTTGACGGCATGATCATACTTGATACCTGCGTCGTAGCAGGTTTTGGGTAACTGGGTGAATTTTGCCTTGTCTCTTAGGAAGACAGGGGGGCGGGACTTGCTTCTTAGCAAGGACTGGAGCACAACGAGAGGCTGGTTTGGTCGGTGTGGTGATGTCTAGGGACATCAGTGGGACGGCGGCAGCGCCGAGGGCGGCGGAGGTTGTGGGAGCGGCAGGGGCTGCTGAAATAGGGGGAGTGCGTTTTAACGCGGCGCGCTTACCGTTGCGCTTGGAGGTGACGGTGGTGAAAGTGGACTCCCCGGTTCCGTCGGAGTCAGAGGACTCCGATGAGCCGGAGCCTGAGGTAGTGGCGGGCCTCTTCCGGGAGGTCGGCGCCGAGGACTCGGAGCATGCGTACTCCATTTCTAAGGGGGCAGATTCAAGGGGGGGCAAAGGAGTTCCTCGTTTCGAGGTAAGAGGCGATTACCGGCGGCGGAAGGTGTGCCTGAGGGGCAGGGAGGGGAGCCTGGGCGGCGATGGTGGCGATGGCGGCGAGGACCGTCTCATTGCCATTTAAACCGAATTGGTTAATGAGGGCGCGAGTGACTCAGTGAAACTGGATGTGGCCATTTTGGGTCAGTAAGCTAAGCTAGGTAAGGGTGAGGACGGGTCCCTGTTCTCGGTAGAACAGGGACTAGATCGCGAGACGTACTACGACACACTATACACGTAATAATAATGCAAGAATAACAAGAAAAACAAGAAAATAAAGGAGACAGTACACACAAAAAAAATTAAAATGATAATGAAAATGAATTGAAAAATGAAAATGATAATGAAAATGAAATGAAAAGGAATGAAAATGAAAAGCGGAAGTCAGTCAGACCTCCCTGCCCGAAGACAGGGGGGCAAGAACTGTAGCGTGAAAGTGACTCACCGGCAGCCTCGACGCTGTTCCGCGTGAGCAGGACAGCGGAGGCGCGTGAGAGCGTGACAGCACTACCGTACTGTACGGGAGCGCGGACCACCTGGAGGCGACCGTCCGAGAACGATGCCGCCGGCACGGCGGACTGAGCACTGCGTCGGCGCTGTACAGCGCGAGAGGGACAGCGGGGGCGCGAGAGCGGGAGAGCACTACCGTACAGGAACGAAAGCGCGGACTGCCTGGATGCGACCGCTCGGAAGCGATGCCACAGGCGGAAACGCGGAATGTCCATATTTCATCCAGATCGACCCTTTTATACCCTTTTTAGGTGGTGTAACTAGCGTCCTTACTAAAGAGCATTTGACAGTGTTTATTTTTGACGCTCTATAATGATAAATGTTTTAATGATTTCATGATTTTTTATTAATAATGTAAAGCATTTCAAATCCCCATTTCAAACATACCAATATTTATATAAATATAATTCGTTTCTAGCCATTACAGCCATTTTTCACGCAAACTCAGAGAGGTGCGATTTTTGTGACGCTGAGTGTATATGATTATATATATATATAGTTGTATAGTTGTAGCACGAATCGGCTCGACCGGGGAAAGACCACGCTCTCACAGAATACCAGCGTAAAATCTTCTATTTCACGCTGGTCTTCTTCTGCTTCATTCTGTATGAGCGTGGTCTTACCCCGGCCGAGCCGACCCATTCGTGCTACTACCATAATATGCAAATATTTCAGTGAAAACGAGGCATTCCAAGGCCAAATTTAAAACGATATTTCTACAATTATTTCCTCTGCGGCTGTAACGCGACTAGTACCAGCCAGTTATTAATAAAATAAAATTAAAAAAGAGCAATTTTTACGTGGAGTGTTCTTTCATATTTTCTGATATTTCTTAATAAAGATATTATCAGTAACCTAAGGAATACAATACCTAGTTAAAAATGTAATTATTTAATATTTGATACAATTAATGGGTAAGTATATAATAATAATGTCCTCCAGACCGAATTTCGGCCACGGCGGCCTGCTTCAACAGAGGCTAGCCATCGGCGCAGGAGAGGATTATAGTAGTGCCCAAGTGTATGCGCAAGGCAAGCACAGATGCACTTTCTCCGATGGGACGGTAAACCGACACGACCGGAGAGAGATCAGGCTCAGGACTGACGGCTTTACGGGCTTTCCGAGGCACGGGGGTGAGACACCGCCAACTTCCTGACTCCTGGCAACTACTGAGAATTTCTTGACAGAAAAGGTCAATAATGGGTATATATGGTATATACACGGTCTAAGTAATTATTTCTTCGTTTATAAAACCTACATTCAAAGTTTCTTTAAAAATAGTTTTGCTAACTGACAGATACGATACAATGCAACTTTGAAAATTATAAGAGGAGAAGGTAATAGAGTAAGGAGTAGTAGACGCAGTAAAGTACCCTTTTAAGTTACGTAATACTGACATAGAAAGCAAAATATCTAACAAACAATTTTGATGATATTCATTTATTATTAATCATTAGTTGTAATAATAATACTTCATTGTGGTCTGATGTGTGGAGACACTGTTGTGGTGGAGAGAACTACTTACCACCGTGACCAGATTTCATATGACGAATCTACTGCTTGTGGAGGTTAAAATCTACTGAATTCTACCAAAACAGAACGAGAAAATACTAAAAATCTATTTATTTTTTTGCTGTCGTTTTACAACGTAAAAACATGAATGTTTTCTAGATTAAACGATAAAAAAAAGAAACCACCATTAATTAAAGAAACTAATGTTTTTTTAACTTAAATTCTAAATAAAAATATAATTAAAAAAAAAGAATAAAATGAAACTTAAAGTTAAGATTCTTCATCTTTATGTTGGGTAACATTGTCATAAAGCTGTTTTGAGTCCATTAACTTGATCATACTTCTGTCAGGATCAAATCTGCTACATCCTCCTTCCAACTGTCGTAGCCCCTCTTTTCCATGCATTATTGCTGCAACATTCTTATTATTAAATCGATTTCGATCTTGATTTTTAATCCTATTAATATCGGAAAATAATCTTTCTACTTTGGCGTTTGACAAAGGTAGTATCGTCATTTGCTTCACAAATCAAGACAAATTGCCATACTTTGGTTTGCTATTCACATCACAGATTTGGCTGACTTCACTCCAAAATTTATACACCATAAAAGTTTCAGATGTCGAACTAGAAGTTGACAATAAATTAGACACGGAAACATCTAATTTTAATTCCCTATATTCATTGTCAACAATTTGCATGTTTTCGGTTGCAACTATGTTAGGAAACCTTTTGAGTATTCTCTCTATCTCTATCAGAGTTCGAAATTCACCATACACTGCTCTTTGGGGATGAATGACAAATCCTGCAAAAAATTATCTTGTACAGGCAGTCTTTGCAGAAATTGGTTACTCAGCTCGATCAAAAATGACTGATATCTGTTAAGGAATTCCTCAGTTTTAGATCTCATTCGAACATCATCTTTTAATGATTCCAATGTCATTGCTACGTTTGTGCCCAGGTACATGTTTTGTATAGGAAGGAAATGCATTCTTGAACTTGGATCTATTGACTGAAGTGGAGTAGTTTTTATATAATTTATCTTCATAAAACAACTCAAAATTGAACTCATCATGTTTTGTATGTCTGTTCCAATTTTATGAATAAGTGTCTGATCACTTTGAAAAATAACGTTAAATTTTGTAGTTATGGGTAATATAAAATCTAAAAAGTAAAGATAAAGTTTTGTCTCATCGCTGTTTAGGGTGATCACATATAAATTGACAAGTAGCATTGGCATTCTTATTCCCTAAAAACTCATCACAAAAGTTTTAATGCTGACCACTGCTCTATAATTCGGTGAATGCGCTGATGTAGAGAAAGCCACCTGATATCATAATGACGAAGCATATGGTGAGTTGGAGTGTCAGTAAAATTTTGAAATTTCACAAAGTCTCTTTGTCGTTGGCTACTGTGAGAGAAGTATGAGAAAACATCTTTGACAAACAATTCTATAGAACAAGGTAATTTTTTGCATGCATAACTCACTGAAAAGCTTGTTGAGTGGCAAATACATTTGAAAAAAATGCAGTTTGGGTTGACTTCCCTAATTTTAGATACCACGCTACTCCTTTCGCCGAACATTACATTCGTGGTATCAGAAGCGAACCCTATTAAATTGGCTATAATAAGGTTTTTTTCAGATAAGGCACATGTTAAACTATCAAACAAATCCTGCGCAGTATCACCTTTTAAGTCCACCATACACAAAAAATTTGTTTTTGGAGATTGCAATTTTTCAGAGTAGTACTTTACTGCTGCTGCAAGTACCTTGGTAGTACTGACATCTGTGCTCTCGTCGATAATGAGCGAAAATACTGGGCTTCTCTCAGTTTCATTTTCTGGTATTGGTCGTAATTCTGCAAGCATTTTTTCCTCGAAGTTATTACCTAAGACGTTGTAGGCAATTGCGGCAGATTTAGTTCTTCTACAGGAAAAACGTTTTGCGATTTCAGAGTCGTGAAATGCCCTTGAAATAACTTCGCTTACATGATCCATTACGCGAAAAGGAATATTATGTTCAACTAAGGCAGCTACAATGCTGATTTCTGCTTTTTTTTACTTCTTCCGAAATGGTTGATGTTTTGAAAATCGTATCAATCTGTAACCAAAGAAGTTAAAAATAATTATAGAGGACATTTCATGTAGCGCTATGTAGTATCAAATACTAAGCAATTTTTACATAGCATTTAACATGAATAAACACACACATAGTTGTATAGTAATTGTTATGTAAATGCGTAGGTAATAAACGTACATAAAACAGCGAATGTTTGAATTTTGAGTGAAAGTATAAAATTCATGAACTTTAAAAGACAATACGTGTTCACACTACTGCGTAAGTTGAAAGTATTAAAAAAAAGTCTTAACAAGAATAGTTAACTAAGAATTACATTCCACATATTAACGTAAGTAACTTGCATACCTGAGAAATGCCGGAATATCCTTTCATATTTTTATATGCTTTGATGTGGCCATGTGTTCTTTCAAAGACGCCACTCCACTTAGTACTTCACAGTTGCATGCTTTACAATGAGCACTCGTAGTGTTTACCTTAGATTTACGTAACCAACTTTTAAATGAGGGATCTTGTTCCCATTCATCGCGATATCCTTGTGTATATTTACGTTTCATTTTAAATTCGATTATAAAAAATCTCAATAAAGGAATTCCCACTAGTCTATCCACATTCCATGCTCAGAAAACGACTAATAAAATTGTGTTGTCTAGTCTATCATTATAGAAGCAACTTTAAAATGATCTAAGTTGAAAGACCTATTTTACAAAAATAGTCTTTATCTATTGGCAAATGAAATTCAATTTGCTATGCCCACAGTAACGTTCATTCAATAATAAGGGAATCCCCCCCAAATCACTTTCGTGTGCTGCCAACTGTAAAATTAAAACTTTTTGGACATGGATGCTTGGTTTTAAGCCTAATATTTTTGACAGAGAATTAATACCAAAACCTACCGATGTGTTTCTCATTTCTACTAAATTCTACTAAGACATTTTATCCTACTAGATTATCATCTTATTTGCTTCAAATCTACTAAAAAAGTAGAAATCTACTAAAAATGGTCACGTTGCTACTTACGTTATCGTAGACAGAGAAACCTATAGACTAATGATCGGCGTGGCCTCAAATGAGAAAGGACGATAACGAATTTTTAGGTTATACAATAATTTTATGACTTTTAAACACATTTAGATAAAAATTTTAATTGTTCTAAGAACTGAACTGAACAAGATTCACCCATCTTAAGGTCACAAAACACTTTTTTCTCACTTAAACCAACTTGTAAACTCCTTAAATCGCTACGCTGTTAAAGTTGTTTAGCAAACTGTATAGTTTGCTAAAAAAAAACCGGCACGGAGAAAGGGACAAACAATCACACCGCTCTATCTCATTTCTATGCAAGACGTATGCATAAATCTATCCTTTTCGTGTGCGCATGCAAAAGAAGGCGTCAATTTTCTATAGGTTTCTCTGTCTACGTACGTTATAATAACTAGCTAGGTATCTAAAAGCCTGTGTTCAGGGACGTATAGGTAATGTTATTCGTTTATGCTTGCATCATTAAATCAATTGATAGTCACAAAGTCTAGAAAAAAAAATCTTGGTAAATCAAAGGAATTTTCTTTTTTGTATTTTCTTGTAATCCGTCTAAATTTTATTAGTCTGAATAAAGATAATTGAGCTGAATAATAATATTTTATAATACTTAATAATAATAATGAACTCCGAATATCTGTCACGGCTAGTGATTGCAATCCGGATTCTTCGAAATTCGAAAATAATAGAAAAATCCAGATTTTCCAGAGTTTTATAAATCGGGTTTTTAAGACTCAAATCCGTTTTTTTCGGATTTTAGTAAAAATAGAGTTCAATGGATAATATTTTACATTTATCCACAAATTTTCATTCTAACTAATGAGTAGTTAGGTGTTACCTACCTACTCTAGTACGCAAATTCGAGCAATATTTGAATTGGTAGGATTATATTTACAGCTCATAATTTTTTTATAAAATCATGAGACAGCCAAGACACGATGTCTGCCAGGCAACTGGCAATGTCATTGAAACGGAGAATTAAAGAGAGGCGACTCTATAATATTGTCGGTGCCTTACAATACTTACCCAACCCCTAATCAATTTTTAAATGCGACTAAATAGGACGAAGATGCGTTTAAAAACCTACGTATGATGAGATTAAAAATTTAATCTATCAAGCTGCAACCCTGGATGTTGAAGATTGCACGACCACGTCTACTAATACGAACTCTATTTCAGAAACTCTGTGCGATAGTTCTGATCCATCGCCGCTCAGCTTTAAAGAAAAGCTCAATCGTCAACTTTCTCTTGCAAGTGTGGGTAGTGATCATCAACACCAGTCAACGAGTGTAATCAGCGCAACTGATTCACGTTGAAATGGCTTTATTTGAAAACGGTGGAGGTTGTGGAAAACGAAAAAAAAATCTGAACAGGTAGCTTTCCATCTTTCAGACTCAACACTGGTCGGCGGACCAGTGTTGATTCTGAAAGAGCTTTTTCCACAGCTAGCATGTTCTGTAATAAAATAAGATCACGTCTAAACGATGAAACACTTGACGCTTTCATGTTTTTAAGATCTCGTTTTCTAAAAAAGGCTGACTAATATATTTGTACTAAATTAATGTCATAAAAATAGAATTTATTAATTATTTCTTCTCTTTGTAAATGAGTTACAAATAAGAGATCTTCTTCGAAGAAGGTAATCTCATGGCTATTAGACGGGTGATGAGGCTGCAGTCGTCAACAGATTTGACAGCATACAGGCAACTGAACAGACAGATCTCCAAATGCTTGCGACAGGACTTACGCAACTTCAGTATTTCAGTCTTTGCCAGAGATCTGCCTGTCAGAAAGAGCCAACTGTCAAGGCTGAAGACTGAGTTTGGCAGCATCGTTTCCGGGACACCTGAGATTTTAAAAGAGATTGAGAGGTTCTATGGGCAGCTGTAGAGATCATCGTTGGAGCCACACGCAAGTGTGAGTAACGATTCAAGAGTCTTATCCGACACAATTCCGATGATATCCCGGACGTCAGTCTGAGCGAGATTAGAATGGCTCTCCAGCACCTTAAAAACGGCAGGGCCCCAGGCGAGGATGAAATTACACTGAAAGCGGGTGAAACACCGGTACTTGAAGTCCTTCAGAAGCTCTTCAATTCCGTCCTCCATGGTGGCACTACTCCGGAGGCGTGGAGGAGAAGTGCGGTGGTCTTGTTCTTTAAGAAAGGTGACAACGCTCTCTTGAAGAACTACAGACCGATTTTCCTTCTGAGCCGCGTCTACGTGCTGTTTTCGAGAGTCAATACGAATGGCCTCTCACGCAGACTCGACGACTTCCAGCCTCCCTAACCAGCCGGTTTCCGAAAAGGCTTCAGTACCATAGACCACATGGATACCCTGCGGCAGATTGTACAGAAGACCGAAGAGTACAATCTGCCACTTTGCCTGGCGTATGTGGACTACGAGAAAGCATTTGATTCCGTCGAAATTAGGGCGGTGCTACAGTCCTTTCAGCGGTGCCAAGTTGACTGTCGGTATATCGAAGTGCTGAAGTATTTGTACAGTGGGGCTACGATGACTATCCGAGTACAGAACCAGAGTTCGAAACCTATCCAACTGCATAGAGGTGTAAGACTGGTGACGTTATATCCCCGAAACTCTTCACCGCTGCGTTGGAAGACGTTTTCAAGCTACTGGACTGGAAAGGATATGGTATTAACATCAATGGCGAGTGACATCACTCACCTTCGATTTGCCGACGATATAGTCCTTATGGCAGAATCGCTGGAGGACCTTAGCACTATGCTCAATAACCTCAATGGTGTCTCCCAACGGATAGGTCTTAAGATGAACATGGACAAAACAAAGATCATGTTTAATGTCCATGTCACACCTATGCCGGTAGTTGTTGGGAGCACTACGAGTATGCTCGAAGTTGTTGACGAGTACGTTTACCTAGGACAAATAGTCCGACTATATAAGTCCAACTTCGACCGAGAGGTCAATCGACGGATTCAACTCGGCTGGGCAGCGTTCGGGAAATTACGACACATCTTCTCGTCAGGTAAATTTCTGAAACTAAATTGTACAACTAGTGCGTGTTGCCAGTGATGACTTACGGATCTGAGACGTGGTCCTCCACTGCTGGCCGTATGAGGACGCTTAAGGTCGCTCAGCGAGCTATGGAGAGGGCTATGCTCGGAGTTTCTCTGCGTGATAAACTCAGAAATGAGGATATCCACAGTAAAACCAAAGTGACCGACATAGCCAAACGGATTAGTAAGCTGAAGTGGCAATGGGCCGGCCATATAGCTCGAAGAACCGATAACCGATGGTGAAGCAAGGTTCTCGAGTGGCAGCCTCGTACCTTACTAGATGGAGTGACTACCTGGTAAGACATGCAGGTGGCTCAGGACCTGGCATTACTTGGGGGAGGCCTACGTTTAGCAGTGGACTTGTGAAGGGCTGTAATGATGATCATGATGATATATATATATATATATATATATATATATATATATATATATTTTACGTGGTAGAGCCATGCTGCAGTTATATTAGCAATATAGTTGTAGCACGAATGGGCCGGCTCGACCGGGGAAGGAGTACGCTCTCACTGAAGACCAGCGTAAAATAGTAGCGTAATACTGCTGTGTTTCGTATGGTGAGTGTAGAGAACCGGAGATCCTTTTTACTGAAAAAGAGGCATTCCATCTTAGTTCTCACGGGTGACAACGCATCTGCATTTTGATTCATAATCGAGGATGGATGTAGATGCCTATGGGCCACAGAAACCACTTACCATCAGGTAGACTGTGTGCTCCTTTGACACCTTGTCCTATAAAAAAAATTACCCCGCTGACACATGGCTAAATTGCTCTTCAATATGAGTTAAGTATTAAAGTTGTTTTGGCCTTTCCTCGATAAACATCAAAATGATGCCTCTCCCATTTATCATTACTTAAGGCTTTAAAAATATAAGAAGGTTGAATTAAGTAATAAAATTACATTATTATTACGTATATTTATTTTTTTACATATACCTATTTAATATTATAAATCAGGATAAATATAAATAATCAATACATAAACTAATATAATACATATAAAGCATAAAACATATATATGCTAAAATAAAATTAAAAATAAATGTTGGACACCAAGCTTTAAAATCTATTGTGGGTAGAATTACTTTGTTTTTACATGTTTGCAGTCATTATGAGATATATAAAAAGTTTTAAGTTATGAGTTATATATTATATTTTAAGTAATACGGCAATAGTAATTATTAAAGTATTTTAAAATTATTATTTAGTAATTTGTTAAAACACAGAAAAACGAAAGACTTGGCACCGGAATGGCAAGATTTTACAATGGATGCACTTCTTCCACATGAGGAACAACGACCTCTGGTACAAGTTTGTGGGTGATGTACACGTCTTGAATGTAGAGGTTGCTTAGATGGTCGGCTTGCCATTGGTACAATGGTCTGTTGAGAGGGAATCCTAAAGGTTCGTCAGTCATGTAGCGAGCTCCAGAACCAAGGCCGAGAGAGACGTTAGGATCAAAGTTACTAGCGTACGGGACCTTTGACGGTTGGTATTCAGAGATGTACACCAGGAGTACGAAAGGCATTCCTCCAACGCGACCTGCCGAATAAACATATCGAGTTAAGTATATAAAATTATATGATTTATATTATTGTAATATTCGAAAACGCATACTTTTTTCTATTAACGAACAAATCCATTCTATTTTCTAAAAATTCCGTTGGATATAGACCTTTTCGAGAATGCGCCATGAGCCATGCTTTTGAAGAGTTGCTCATATCTAATACGCTGGGTAGACGGATTAGTGTGCAATTGACGGATTCCCTTTCTAAATCCCGCTTGCACATCCCAAATTGACGGATTTAGAAATTGACGGATTTGTAACCCGTATATTGGTAAAGAAGGCTTCCCATCATCAATCATCTCAGTCCAAAATCTTGTCCGCATATTAGCATAAAAGTGTTTTTTACGTGGTAGAGCCATGCTGCAACTATATTGTGGTTGCAGCACGAATGGGTCGGCTCGACCGGGGTAGGACCACGCTCACGCAGAATACGGTATGGTGAGTGTAGAGAACCGGAGACCCTTTTAACTGGAAACGAGGCATTCCATTTTAGACCTCAAGGCTGGCAACGCATCTACATTTTGATTTTTAATTGAAGATAAATGTAGATGTATATGGGCCACCGCATCCACTTACCATCAGGTGGACTGTGTGCTCGTTTGTCACCCTTATTATACAAAAAAAAGTAAAATTAGGTATCCCCTTACACGCCCACAATACGCGCAGCGTTTTGTCATTTCTATGTTACTACATTTTTACCTTTAGGAAGTAAGAGATGGTCGGGGAATCCGTCGATTCTGTGAGTCCTGTCAAGAACGAATTGTCCCTTGCCGTGCAGGGCATTGAAAGCCTTTTCGTACACTTCGTATGCCGGCGTCCATCCTTTGATTGCGAATCCGTTTTCTGTCGACTCACGTTTGATTACACATTCACCGACGGGCACTGCAATATGATAATAATATATTAAGTATTTTTGTTACAATTTGTTGAACATTAATTTAGTGAAAATGTTAAAGTTTAAACAATTTTGCGCCAGGAAAGTAAATTAGTGTTTTTAATGTTTAAATTATATTTAGTGGAGAATCGTTCTTGAATATTTTACATGGGTAGGTAATCAAACATCAGGTCGCGATAGAACTTTTCTTAACAGTCAGCAGTGTTTGAAAATAAAATTGTTTAATATAGGTATTTATATCCCATACGTTAGCAACACTTATGGACAAAATTTATTTAATGTTTTTTAGTTATATGTTTAAATGCATTATTTGAATACTTTTTTCTTGGAAACTTATTTTATATTTAAAAAAAATATAAAATAAGTTTAATGAACCTGCACTAACTCTGAGTTTAGAATACTTAATCTTAATAAAAAATCTTAAACCTCAGAAACATTCACGAATTGATTACGGTCGGTTTGTCGTGAATAGCGGTGTTCCACAAATACGACTTCATGCAATCAATATTTTCCTTACCAACCTTATTTTTACAAAGATCTCTAGTACTACTAGTAGCAGTAGTAGAGTTATGAAAGAAACTGATGAAAAAATTTTGGATGTGCAAGCGGGATTTAGAAAGGGAATGGGGTGTACGGATCAAGTCTTTTCCATGCGCATGATCGCGGAGAAGTTTTTGGCGAAAAAACAAAAAGTTTTTTGTGCGTTCATGGTCTTGGAAAAGGCTTATGACAGAGTGGACAGGGATGTGTTATAGCAAACGCTGAACGCATTTAGGTTGAGCGCTGGTTTGATACAGGCATTAAAGTCTCTGTATAGGGACTCGAGTGCTTGTGTTAGAATCAACGGGGCCTACTCGGACTGGTTTGGCATCCATAAAGGTGTCAGACAGGGCTGTGTAGCTTCCCCATGGCTGTTCAACCTATTTATGGACAGTTGTTTGGAAAATTTGAAAGTTGAAGAATACGGGTTAAGAATCGGTGAGTTAACCATCAAATGTCTTTTGTACGCCAATGATCAAGTCATACTTGCGTCGTCGGCGGCCGAGTTGCAAATGATGGTTACATTAATGAACAGGTCATTAGAAGAAATGGGAATGAAAGTGAACGCAAGTAAGACGAAAGTGATGGTTTTTGAAAGAGAAGAAAGCAAAACGGTATGTGAAATAAGAATAGAAGGAGAGTTAATTGAGCAAGTGGATGAGTTCTTATATTTGGGATGTGTATTCAGCAGGGATGGGAGATATGATAAGGATATTCAACGACGAGTGAATGCAGAAAATAAAGTAAATGGGGCTCTACACTCTATTGTGAAAAGTTAGAATGTGTCGAAAAAGGCACGTATGGCAATTCACAATGCTGTATTAGTCTCTACTTTAACGTATGGTAGTGAAAGTAGGGTGTGGCAGAAGAAGCACGAGAGTAGAATAAATGCAGTAGAAATGCGGTCGCTAAGGAGTATTTTAGGGCTGAATCTGAGTGACAGGGTTAGAAACTGTGTGATAAAAGAAGAGTGTGGTTTGCAAGATCATGCGGTGACCAGTATTAAGAAAGGAATGCTTCGGTGGTTTGGTCATGTAGAAAGAATGAATGTGGAAAGACTGACAAAGCAAATATATGTTGCAGAAGTGAATGGAAAAGTTGGAAAGGGACGTCCTAGGCGGAAGTTTGTCGACCAAATTGGCGATATACTAAAAATGGGCCAAATAAGGAGTACCCTTAACCGACGAGCATGTATGCGTAGGTATATGGATGTGGAAGAGGCGAGAGAGGTATGTCAGGATCGTGCTAAATGGAAGTCTGTAGTCTCTGCCTACCCATCAGGCGTGAGTGCTTATGTTATGTTTTTATCTCTAGTACTTACTGTCATAGACGAATTGATCCAACAAAAAGAAGTTTTCAGTGTTAACGTGCAGAGGAATTTCATAGCCCTTGCTATCATACTTAGGTGCCAGGAAGAATTTCACAAGAACAGGCTTCTCGACTTCACTTTTGACATTAACACGGACGGTGAAGACTTTGTGGTTTAATTGTGGACGCTGAACGACTACACTCACATCATCAACTACTGCCTTGCCTAAAACATAAATAATTTAAATATATTATAAGGTGGTCATAAATTTTATGGTCTTTAGTGAAAGCTCGACAGAATGAGATACTTGCTTTCATGTTCATTCATGTGCAGATCGTTGGTAACGTTAAAGTAGGTGTGTTCAAAGTAAGTGACTAGTTTATCGACCTCAACGCTCTTAATAACAACTGAGGGTAGTGCCAGTTTCTCAAGCTTGTATTCTGGAAGATATTTCTGCCATGTGGTGAACAATCCCAATACACGTTTCCAAATCATGTAGAATGCAGGGTCACGCAGAGCAGTCTGGTAATGTTCTAAGACTGATGGAACAACCAGCGGTATCAATCTGTAAAACATCGATTTTTTTAAATGTATCAAAAATGGTATAATAATAAAATTGTGTGATTTTTTTCAATCATACCCCTTATGGTAGTGGTGTTTATGCCAAACAGTGTTTCCGAGAACAGTCTTCCAAACGCTGATAAAGTCCTTATAGTAATATGGGTTAGGAGAGTCAACATTAGCTTCAATTACCCGACCGAGAATATCAACTGCCTCTGGAGTTTGGATGCTAATGTGTTCGCCCAAATGCTAAAAAGTAAATGCAAAATGAGAGAAAAATAAAAACAAAATACTTATAATTGCTTGAATTCTCCTACTACTTACATTTAGAACATATCCTTTGTCAATAGCTTCACGAATACGGTGCTCATATTCTATGATCTTTGTTATAGCATTTACAAACTCAGGTTGGTCCAAATTGAAGTGATTAGGTCTAACTGGGAACGGAATACCATTATAGTATGACATACCAGGTACGTATCCTTGTTGAACTACGTCAAGACCTAATTCAGGAATTTCTCCAAGACCGTTAGATAATCTTTCCATGTAGTAACGAGACAGGATTTGCTTGTGGTAGAACCAGAATAATTCACCGCGTCTGTCCTTTACTAAAGGACTGTCATCATTTCCGAGCCAGAACGGGTACATTAGGTGGACATTGTAATAAAATGCGTTAAGATTAACGTCATGAGTGAAATAGGTAACAGCGACGTCGTTATTATGGTAGGGCCATGTCGTGCTGTTCCACCTAATCACAACATTGTCGTCATGAACATAGGTAGACGGGTAATGTTCGATCATCCGCTTGCCATGCGTGTTTATTCTCTGAGCGGTGTTTATTATCTCAGCATTATGGAAGTATGAAGGGAAAACTTCATATATTGGTGGAATTACTATGCCTTGAGTATCTGGACGGTGCAACAAAACGACACTGACTACATATACGAAAAGGCCCTCATTGATTCTATTTCTCAAATAGACGGCCGTTTTATAAAATGTGGTAAAATCTTTAGCCGAGTACAATAAATCATACAGAACTTCAGCTTCAAATCTATGCGAGAACTCAAGTACAGAGAATGGCACTCCACGAGGTACTAACACGTCGCTTTTAACAAACTCTGCGTACATCTTCACAGCCGTGACATTCTGCGAAAGAAAATATTAATGAAGCTTATTTATGCTTTAAATACGGTATATTAGTAATATTGACATATATGTATAATAATATTGCTCCGATATCTTACGGTGTAGTGTTCGATATTCTTTTCCAGATCGAAAGTATTAACAATTTCTTTGAGTTCAGGCTCGTGAATGGGCTCATGAATGTGATAGAATAAGTTCAAGACATCTACTTGATGTTGCAAGAATTCATGATCAACTGAAATAAAGATCAAAATTTACAATTATTTATGTGCTCCATCTTATTTTTCATTTAATAAAATAAAAATATATCTTAAATTTAATAATATATTAATGGTTGTATTAAAAATGATATCGTCCGCTTTCAACCTTAAGTATTTGATTACAATTAATAACAGTCCTTTACAACTTATCAGCAACTTATCGGAAAAAAAAACTGATAAGGGCATTTTAAGTTAAGTATAAAAAGTATTTAAGGATTGAATAAAACTACATACGGATTTTATCACGTATAATTAACTTCTATTAAATTATTTTTAATTGCCGACGTTTCTGAAGTATTTAAGAAAATAACATAAATTATATATTATTGTTAATGAAAAAAGTAAATGTATATTTCGCCAGTAAAAATTATCTTCAATTCTCTATATTGACCGTGTAGTATCGGTATAGGAATATCCACAACCCTATATCGTCCCATGGGTGTGCAGTAGGAAACAGGAGATGGGCAATGGGATCCTCTTAATAAACAGCTGAAAATAATAAAAAACTGCTGTTGCCAACCCACCTCCAAGGGTAGCAACTACGTCCCATGAGGCAATTAATGAAGGAGGCATATGTTCAGCAGTGGATTTATAGACTCTAAATTCATCACACGAAACACAGCAGTATTTAGCTATTTTAAGCTGTAAATGTTATTCATTCGTTTTACAACTATAATATAGCTGCTGCATGGCTTGAACACGTGTAAAATAGGCCATTTCCGTTGTAGACTATTTGCCTTATTGACGTCCTAAGTACCTAAAGTCTCGTAACTTTTAGGCTGCACCCGGTCTCCAGTGTGTGTATTTTACGTATAGTGGAAACAAGACGGTTATATTGGTAATTTATCAGCAGCCATGAGATTCTTGTAGCTGTCCCCACTGTCTCTTTTTATAACACGGAGTAACAGCACATGACACAGTTAAAGTCTTAAATGTATATATTATGAAAACATAATGCATTACATTTTTAAATTTAATATAATCACGAAAGTCATAATTAACAAGACAAAATTAAGAAAATTGTAAAACAGATTAAAAAAACTACACTACTTACCAACTTTGTGCGGAACCTTTTTTATGGGGTCCGCAAGCCCGCTTGCTGCAAGCAGCGCTACCGTGCACAACACCAGCCGAGCCATGGTCGTCAGTGACTAGCCTCAATACAGATCCTCTATTTATACCACGATACATAGATAATTTGGTGTTAATTATCTAGTATAGGTCAGGTACAAAATAAATGGTCAGCCTTATCAAAATTTTTAACTACGTAAAAATAAACAAATCGTTCACGAGACTATGCATTTTTGCATCGGTCATTATACCCAATAAAATTACCTTCACACAGGTCGTTTTAACGTCTTCCCCCATTCCATCAAACTGGTCTTATCGTGGCATGGCTTAGGAGCCATGGGTGGGTGGCCAACACCCACGGTGAACAAAAACTTACCTCCAAATTCGGCACACTTTGTTTGCTGACCCAAAATGATGGGCGCGCCCGAAGTGGACGCCCATGTTGTATGTTGATAGACTACGGTAGGAATTTGTTCTTGTTGCAACCCCACACGTAGCTGCCAAGTGAAAATCGCGGGAAGTCCTCCTTGTTCTCCAAAATAATAGAATTCATTATAAACTGTCAGCTCATAACGTACCTTGAGGATCACCAGCTGATTATTGACTGCCAATACGGTTTTCGTCGGTGCCGATTAGCTGGTCATCTTCAGGTCTACCTGACTCATAGATAGGTGGAAGCAGTAGAGTCCAAAGGGGAGGCATTCGCCGTTAGTTTGGACATTGCGAAGGCCTTCGACCGTGTTTGGCACAAAACGCTTTTATGAAGCTCCCTTTTATGGGCTTCCCGAAAAACTGTGCAAATGGATGACCAGCTTTCTTACAAATCGAAGCATCAAGGTCGTTGTAGACGGTGCATGCTCCGTTTACAAGCCTATTAATGCTGGTGCTCCACAAGGCTGCGTGCTATCACCAACGCTGTTACTTCTGTATATCAATGACGCCTTGACTTTTGTTATTGTTGTTGTTGTTGACGTTGTAAACCGGTAACATTCACATTCATACACCGGCCGTGCCAATATTTCTCGGAAAAACATCGCCGATTACCGGGACAAACTTGTGTCTGAAGTCGAGTCTTTGCTGGACAAAGTCTCGGGTTGGGGCGACTAAATCTAGTCCAGTTTAAACCTCAGTAGACACAAGTTTGCACCTCTACTGCTAAAAAGAACCCCTTTGTCATATCTCCTCAGTTTCAAGCCACTCCCCTTGTTGCCTCAGCTAGTATCGAAATCCTCGGCGTCAACATATCGAATGACGTGCAGTTTCGTGGTCTCTTGGAAGGGAAAGCCAAATTAACCTCTAAAAAGTTTGGCGTACTCAATAGAGCGGGACGTGGAGTGCTCTGAGGAATTGTTCGAAATAATCCCAGCCGCCAAATTTCATAAACGCACATCGCGGCAAAACTCCCGATACCATCCACACCATCTGGATGCTTGGCGGTCTACCACTGTAGGTTTCACTAGCAATTTTCTTTCTCGTACGACCTCTCTTTGTAATAGTTTATCACCGGCGATTTTTCCGGACCAATATGACTTAGGGACCTTCAAGAAAAGAGCTTACTCCTATCTAAAAGGCTGGCAATGCTCCTGCAATTCCCCCGGTGTTGCAGTTGCATGAGCGGCGATAGTCACTTAACATCAGGTGGGCCATACGGCTCTTACGATCCTTTGCCTCTCTCCTACAAAAAAGAGGAGTTATAGCAAAGCGCCACTCACCCTATCCTCCTCGGCTCTGGTGAGGCCACTTTGCAAATGTTACATATTGTTTCGGTACTGCTAGATACGCCTCTACCTACCCACTGCGACCGTAACATGATCGATAGCGGTCCCATTGACCAGATCTGCCAATAGAGCCGGAGTGTTGCTTACCTGTACCCGTTTTCCTTAGCGCAATATTCTCCGTGTAATGGATCAATATCTGAGGAGGAGCCGCTGCCCCAGCTGGCACTTGTGTTGGCTGGTATTAAAACGTTCGTACACAGATGTGTACGAACATTTTAATACCAGCCTACGGAATATTGCAATATAGAGATGAGTCCCTTCCACTGTTCTTTATTTCTATAGAAGATAGTTTTCAGCAAACGTTTCAAAACATACTTAGTATTCAAATAAATAATATTTAAAATCTTCACGGCAATGATATTGTCTAAATTCAACATATTGCCAAGTGCATATTGATTCCGTAGATAATTGTTCTCGTAATTTAAAATATAATGTTTTAAAAAATATTTCAGCTAATTCTTCCCTTTGGTCGGACACTAACTTGGACAGTTTTTTTGAATTATGAAAGATTTATTTATTCGCCAAGCACTCTAATCCAAAAGTAAAAGTTAATTTTACTGGGTAGGCATTGGATCGCTTGTCACTTAGTCGCAGAGCCTCAGAGAACGATTTTTCGTGATGATGCTGCGTTAAGAGGCGGGTATACTAATGAATGGGTATATAATGGTGAGTTGTGCACGTAATTTTGGGAGGGTTGAAAGTTCTCTACGAACTAGAAAAGCCACACTATTATTATTATTATTATTTCTCAAGCGCATTTAACTAATTAATTTTCACATCTTTAGGATGACTGTTTTTAAGTTACGATCTTTTGCAGCACATGAACTCCTGCAGCAAACTTCTAAACACTAAGATGAAACGCCTTGCAGTCTAACATTATACTCTATATCTCTTTTACCCTTCAAACCAGGGCACCACTGTTTGGCGTACGGAATAGGAATGAAGATGCTACCAACCCATACGGCTTCCTAAGCATAAAAGCAGCTTTACCGCCTTGTAATGGTATGTGCTAGTTACCATATTTATAGGGTTATAAAATCTCAAGCACACACATTATTAATCGCCTTGAACAGTATTTAATAGTTGCCATGATTCCATCATAGTCAATACCTATCTTATATCATTACATATTTTTACTTGGGATAATCCTTATGGATACCTCTCTGATGTTGAGAATAGTTTACACCGAATTCTCCTCATTTTTCGGAGCTACGGCAACGCTTTCGTCCTTATCGGGTTTGTGGCTGGAGTTCTCAATTCTTACTCGTGTACGGATAGATGTGAACGTGTGGGCGCTTTAAATTATCAATTTCAACGCCATCATTTTTATCACATGAGGCTATTATTAGATCTCAGACATGGGATATGGAGGCTTTACTGCGACGCCCAACTCTCTGGCTTTAAATAGAGAGTATTGCCATCCGCTATAGAGGAATCGTTGATTGATAATTATACAAATGCCTGACTATTATCTACTTTATGCTAACATATCGTATTAAACTGGGCTAACAAAATAAATGTGTGTGGGAGACATATCGTTTTGTCACAGTACAGTTCGGGCCGAACGTAGGACTCTTACCCTTCTATATCGTCATTACGAGCTCGTAAAATCCATCGCCAAACACGAACCTCTCCCAGTATAAGTAGGATTTAGTTTAGTGGTTTTCCGATCATATCAGACGTCTCGCACCTTTGGTATTTTTCATCACCGGTCTGTGTGCTTTACACCTGGCGTAAAAGAATTTGTTAAACTGACATTCTGTTAGAAGCCATCATATCATTCTGGCCTTTCTCATAGGCCTCTTTTACGACATCTACGATACGAAATGGAGTGATAGAATCGCTCACACCACATAACGCAATGCATAACATAATACCGTCGTAAAATACAAAAGGAGTATGCTGATATACGAGATCTATCGCTATCTACCGCCATCTACTGTACGATAGTATATTTTAAATAAATTGGAGAATTTACAAAATAACTGGCTATTTTTGAAAGCCACCCGAATCTTCAACTGTGTTCATCATAAAACATTAATTATAAAACAAAAACGTTATCTAGTGCATTTTATTCATGGTAGAGCTATGCAACAGCCTTATTATGGTTGTTGCACGAATGGGTCCTCTCGACTTGGAAAGAAGCACGATTTCACATATTACTAGCGTATAATTGCAGCTTAACTTTGCTTTGCTTTGCTTTTTCGTATAGTGAGTGTAGAGAACCAGTTAACATTTTTACTTGATACGAGCCATTCCATCTTATTCTTTAGGGGTAAAACACATAGCATTTTGATCCCTAATCAAGGATAAAATGAAAAAAGAGGACCATATACTTGTGTGTTTAACACATTATTCTTTTAAGCAAACACACAAAACTGTAAAACTTTAAATTCACTGACTCATATTTTGTATGGAATCTTTTTAAGTAATAAAACAAAACTGATTATTTCTGTATATTGTTAGTTAAATTCAACACTTATCTATCAGCTTTTGATATTGTGCATCATATTATGCACAGCTTAACTATATTTATGTTTTATTTTCTACTTATCAGTTAAATAATGATGTCATGTTTTATTTTATTTTAATCATTTGCATCGTTGTTAAATCATAGGACAGACATTTTGCATGGAGACGCACTAAAGTTTCCTTTAGCTAGTATTATCTTTGTATGTAGTTGAACGGTAGGAGAATCACCTAAAGTAGCCTTAATATATCTAGATCCTATCTTATTAGTTACAATTTGCAACTTTTAATTACTTTTGGATTTATCTTTTCTCCATTCAACAAAAATGTTTAATAAAAATTAAAAATTACAAAATTATTAGTTTATTAACTTGTCAAAAAAAATGGTGTGTTAAACACAGAAAGTCTATATTATTGTAGAATTGTAATACGAATCTGACACATAAAGCGGTGATTATTAGTGTTTGTTAGAATAAATATTATATTTTTAAAATAATGAGGTGTACAAATAAGTTTCAAAAAAAAAAAATTGGCGCCACCAGTAAGTTACGATTTAAAATTTTCATATAAAACGTCATTATCCTAAGCCCCTTTAAGGGTATATATGTTCTGTGATCGTAAGTTTGGACATCTTTCAACAACATAACCTTGAAATATTAGTGAACTTTTATCAGTATAATATATTCTTTTACGTCCGAAAATGTCGAGTTTTTAGCCGAATAAGCGTCATTTGCGGATAATTTTGATTTACTTCTTCAATTTAAATAAAAACTAAAACCTGTAGCTAAGGAGCATCGATTGATTGTAGACGCATATTGTAG